TCACAAGTGATAATGATTTACGAGATGTTATACAGGTTTGGGCGAGGGTCCATAATCATATCATCAATGTTTATAATTTTTTTGTCCATAAAAATTTGTTCCCAAAAGTTGAATAAATCATTTTCATCTGACTTATCCGTATCATCATCCCATGAGAAAAGGGGAATTAGCGCATGAAATTTATCTAATATGTAAAGTAATTTAGCGATAGGTTTTCGGACCAAAAATTTTATATGCGTTTCCAGAGCCACAGAGAAGGAAGAATGTAAAGATAGTGATTTTTGATTTAATGCAATATCTAATTGCCATTGATTTGAAGAATTAGCCTTTAACCACTCTTCGGTTCGACTTTTTAAACATTTAATGAATCTTGGACTTTTAGGAATATTTTCTACCAATTGTCTAAAATAAAAGTTCAACATGAGTATAATTAATAAAAGGTCATATAAATATATGCATCTACTTACTTTAAATGCTCTACGGATTTTTTTGAGGATGGATGTTTAACGCAAAACAAACACCATAGTAATTCTTGGTTTAAAATTTGTTCAAATGAAAATTCTCCATTGAGAATATCAATAATTGTTGAATTAAGAAATAGTGGGAGGGATCTTTCTGAAGAAACCAAATTTTCGATAGTAATTTGATGCCAGCCACACATAAAGTTAAATAAATCAGCACTGTCTTTATCGTTATCGGATTGTCGGTTAAAATGAATGATTATGCATGCACGTTTGATTATTGGTGATTTTTCCTTGAATTCATTTCTATACTGTTCAATTATAAATTTTGCTAGTCTGATGCATCCTGCCTTTACAGTTAAGGGATCACATTTTAAAATATATAAATCACTATCGGATTTATGGTGTTTAAACGCACAGAACGATTTGAGTCTTAAATTTCCCTTTTCATTTTATTTTATGGAACAAATTGATCAGCATAAAAAGCTTTATTACGAGGAACTAGATCTCTTATACGAACAACCTGAAAATTGGGACGAGAATGATAATTTAAAACCAGAAATTATGGAAGCATTTCTTGGAAAATTTTCGGAAAATATTCTAGTAACGATCCCAGCATTGACACCAGAAATTTTACAGCT